TCGGTATTGCCAACAGCACTTTGGCTGTGGCTAAGGAAGTGAGTTTAAATATTAAATGTTAAAATTAGTTCTGGAAAGCATATATTGCTAAGTGGGCAAGTGTGTCCCACAAAATAGCACTTCATGTTTTGAACTTTCAAACTGAGAGATGGTTGTGTCTAAGGCTTGCACTTTAAGTTGTGTATACAGGAGGCACCTTCCATCCTTCCTTTACTTCAGGTAGATAGGCATCTAGAAATCACTCTATACTCTTTATCTTGAATGCAGTGTATGCTTTCATAAAATGCTGGGCAAAACAAAATTCTTCTTCTTTCCCTCCAAGTACACATCTAGCTTGCTACCCTGCAATTTCTCATGTTTATATTCCTCCTTGTGTAATCAAATGACATGAGAACTTACTTGAAGGACCACCATAGGAAAAATGAGTGTTTCAAGATGTGCTAGTGGTTGTAAGAGCTATCTTGTGGTGTGAATTCTTCCAGATTAAATATGACTGACAGTACTAGGCAGCTAACAGACTCATCTGGGGGGAAAAGGAACCAACAAAAAACCAGTGCAATATTTTTTGCAAAACTGCTTATTTATGAATTTTCCTTAAAGGTTATTTTTGCATCTTACAGAGACTTTGCCTTAAAAGCTTCTATGTGGGTCTAAGTAAAATTTTAGCAAAAATTTAAATTGGTTATATTTCAGCTTGTTCAGTTAGTGGCAGCAAATGGAAATGGTGCTGAAAGCAAACACAAATGGCCACGTACAAGAGCTGTGTGCACAGCTTTTACAGTGAAGACTGGGACTTGGTCTGGGCTCCTAGACATACACCTGCAGTATAAAGTTAAATCATGTTTTACATTAAACTTCCCAGTAAGGGCAAATGCTAACAAAAATAAAAGTTACAAGGAAGGAGACACTTTCCACTCCTGTGCTGTTAAAGCCTGTAAAAAATTCAACCATCTCAGCTGGTTACCACAACTCTAACCTATATAAATCAAAGTTTTAAATGAATAAAACCACTTTGGCACACAACCATATCACAGCAGTATGATGCATGCCTGAATATTCCTAAGAATGCCCTCAGAGGTACTCTGTTAGCAGAAATTTTCTGCAGAAGGGAAGAAGAGGGAGTACAAAGGCCCATTGTGCACACTAATGCAGAAAAATGAAATCAAATACCATTCTCAGCAAAAGCAGAGTGTCTTCTGAGCAAAGGCTATTAAGTGTGTCAGACTGCAGGATATTTTCTGGACATGGCTATTATGTTAAGACATACTGAACATGTGTCACTTATAAGCCTGCCCTGGTTGTAACATCACAGCTCCACAGGAAAAAAGTCTGGTGCATCAATTCTTTGTATCAAATACTCTCACACAATTCTCACCGAGCTGTCACTTCTCATTTGTAAAAAAGGTTAGAGTAAGTTATAATTACTACTTGCTGCCCTGTCAACTAATTAAATATAATAAGCTTTCTGTGAGTTTAATGTTAACACAGTATAATTACAGGAGTTTTGAATGCACAGTGCATGTATTACAGGTTTCGGTATTTGCTCCCCACCTTTTATGACCTAAATTCTCAGGTTAAACCTATCATATGACTAGTGAGCAGGCACTGTCAAAGACAACTATTCAGACATAAATACAAGTCAACCAAAGCAGTCCGGTGTATTTTTAGAGGCACAGCATCAGCCTCTGGGGGTAGAGGTGGAAAGAAGGAGAAGAAAGGAAGCCAGACAGTTTCTCCCTTCCACTTTTCTTCCTCTTCCCTTCAGGAGGCACCCTCTCCCATCCATGAGGCTCCCACTGCTCTGAGCCTTTTTCCTCCCTTTTGTAAAGAAAAATACTGCTGATATTTCAAAGCTACTTCCAACCCCATCTCTTCATCAGTCTGCGAAGCATCTTGGTAGGGGAGGAGTGAGTGCACCTGGCCCACTCTGGGGCTGGCTCTACTCTTCAGAAAGAGTTACACCATACAAATACCTTCTACCCAGGGAAGGAAGGAAGATTGCTCGGGAGGCCTAGAGCAGGGTGGAAGTGACAATGGAGACCATGTAATGCTTCAGCACTTGGGCTGACATAGCTCCTTACCCTCCTAAGTATTTGGAAGATCTTTGAACACATTTGAAAATGGTGAAGGGCGGAGAAGTCAGGCTTTAGATCAGTCAGGACATTGGTAGCTACAGCTCTAGTCAGCTGTGCCTACTGCATTTTTCACACTTTCCCACTCATACTCCTCATTCCTCTTCTTTCCCAGGAAACATTCAAGGTCAGGTTGCATGGCGACCTGAGCAACCTGACCTAGTGGAGGATGTCCCTGCTCACTGCAGGCAGGTTGGACAAGAAGAACTTCGAAGGTCCTTTCCAACACCGATCATTCTATGATTCTATGTAAGTTAGGTACAAATAGCTCACAAAATAAAAATGCAATTAATTAAACAAAAATGTAGTCTAAAAGAACCAATTAAAATGACGAAAATCTTTAATTTTATTTAAGTATAGTTGTACGGACACGTGTATATACAAATACAGATCTTATGGGGCAGGGATTTTGGTGGTGTTTTTTTTTTTTAACATTTTCCTTTAAGTTTATATAATGTAAGCATTTCAAAAACAGCACTCAATGAGTAAGTGCAAAGAAACTGCAAAGCAGGGCAGTACAAGCACAGGACCACACTGAGCTGGACTTTCATACCCAGATGCATACACAATGAGTGTCTTCAATGGGGTGTCAAGAGTAAGCATGGTAAGCGGATTTCGCAGACTCATGGGTAACCTCCAACATGCCAGCATCTATTAAACTGTACAGACAATGGCAGCAAGCCTATTGTAGGGAGATTTGTCTCACATCCGAGAAGCTTGAGGGCAAATGCATGGGAAAAACTCAGTAATGCCAGACCAGAAAGAGATCTGCCCATTCACAGCTCCAAATTAAAAAACAAGGAGAGTGGGAGAGGAGGAAGGGCAGGAAGAGGGAAGAGAAGTGCGGAGGGTTGTACATTAAAACTGGTGATTACAAAATCCAAGTGTAATGAAAAGAGGGGAAGAGTTAACACTCTAAACCTCTGAAAGTGACTGAACCATTGCACTCATAAGGCAACGGATTAAATTCAGTTTTGAGGGCTAGGGGTCGGAATCAACAGGTACAAATACAACCATTTTCCTTCCACAGTTATAGAGGAAAGGAAACAATCTACTCAACTACTCTCAGTACTTCCCAAATTTGTTTCTAGCTCTTTTGGAACCAACTACATACATATATCACACACGACACTGGCAAGATCCTTTCTGGAAAAAACTACTCATGGGAACAAAACCAGAAGGAAAACAGGACGAAAAAAAGAAAAAAGAAAGAAACAAACAAAATAACAAAAAAGTTGTTATATCCCCAAAGCCTCTTTAGAAACAAACATGATACAAAAGAACAAAAATTAACACATAAACCACAGGGCTCCAACATCAGACCTTTAAACACCAAGGACAAAACACTGATCATCAAAAGTCATGTTGTTCCAGGTCTTGACATTGTGAAGTCTTGCAACAGATGAACGATTTTCAAAGATGAGTCCTGTATGCTGCAGTGTCATGGCCACTTGTCTCTCAGTTCTCAGCCATGATCACACTTGATGCTTCAAAGCTCTGTCTTGTAATCAACACGTGATTTTAATATCCTGAAAGTCTATTGTTCTCACTTACAAAAGACATAAGAATCAAATTAATACTTTATTATCAAACACTATATACAACAGAGATTGCTAATAATACAGAATTTAAAGAACATAGCTTTACTTGTCTTTCCTTCGCCATCCAAGTAAGTACAGTACAAAACAATATTCTAAACTAACACGAAATGTTACCTTGTCTATTGAAGGATACACAGTATCCACTAAACTGACTGATTCCTATTTTGCCTGCTTCACATTGCAATGCACTTGGCAGCCAGGAGTGCAGGTCATGGGCATAAGTAACTCACCTAGGCTGAGGGAGAATCAGTACCTCAGACTTGAGCTGGGGCAGATAAAGGGTAAGGAAGCAAAAATCTCCTCAATTTGCAGCAACATCTGCATTTAAAGCATCCAGAGATTTGCAATGCAGCACAAAGCCCACCAACATTTATGTATCTTGGTATGACCAGGATTGCCTAATGCCATCAAATATCAAACTGGCAGACTCCGGTATGCTGCTCCCAGCCACACCGTGCCAGGCAGCACCGAGATACGCCATGCAGACACATCATTTGTGTTGTCCCTCACTGACCCAGCAAGGCTTTGCGACAACATGAAGGGGTGAGTTTCACCAGGAGTAACACTAGTGACAATCCTTTGTGGATAAATGTACGTCTTCAACTCCAACACCATTCAGAGACAAAGGATGACAAATGAAGTCACTGTTCCTACATTAAATTGGCACTACTGGTATGACTGCCCGCAATTGCTATGAATCATTGTAATATGGTTACACATCATGCAATATTATCTGTACTCTGGTTAATAATCCATTTGATAAGGTGCATTTTGAATAAGCTCACCTCATCCAAAGCTTTTTAATTCCTACATACAGGAAGTATCAGTGTGTGTACCAAGCATATACACATTAAAGAGAGCAAAGTACCAGACAGCCTGTAATGAGATGATGACTTCCCTCACTCTTTGGTCTGTGTATCTTTATTCTGTGCACTTCACACTAGAGCAAATTTCCTGCATTCCTCCTGTACATACAGGCCCTGCCTTAATGAACATGTATGATATCAGGCAAGCCCAGGTCATAGCTCAGCATGCATAAAA